ATCACATGGTTCTAGTATTCCAGTATTAGCTTTTAGAAAATGTTACCTTTCAATTTCCATTGGATGTAAATGAAAACTAACTCATTTGTATCCATGTTTTAGGTCACGCCCTTGGCTTCTACCACGAACAATCGCGTCCTGACCGAGACCAATACGTCACCATCCACTGGGAAAACATCATCGGAAGTATGAMCAAGCAGTTTGATTGTTAATATTGTTTGGGGATTCTTGCCGTGACTCAAGACATAATTAGTATAAGCCATTACTTACATTCTTTATTCTCAATTTTAATTTGTAAACATTTATTTAACAATTTTTTTTCTCTTTTAGACGCTAAGTTTAATTTCAACAAGTACAACAGGAACACCATYGATTCACTTGGTACTCCTTACGATTATGACTCCGTCATGCACTATGGCTCAAGGGCGTTCAGTAGAAACGGTAGACCAACCATCTCTCCTAGAAGGGGAGGGGTAAGTCAATTTCGTCTTTCTTGATTAACGACACCGGCTCTAGATATAGGATCACTTCCAATAATTCTAAACTAATCATTTAGTGATTTCCGAAAAGTCCATAAACTAGTTGATTACCCTACAAGACTAATGCGAACTTTATAAAAACGCCTTTATTATTTTAGTTCAAAGACGCATGACTGACTGTCCATGGTGAACTGATTATATTTGTTTATCAGGTTTCAATTGGACAGCGACGAGGTCTCAGTAGAATTGACGCGCAGCAAATGAATCTGCTATACAGAGGGGTGTGCAGTGGTGGTGGTGGTGGTGGTGGTAGTGTAGTGGGCCCGCCCCAGCCTCCTCCGCCATGTAAGAAAATTAATATAACTTCCACTCTTAGCATTGTGGCGCGTTAGTATTGGTTTCACAATTTTACTTAATTTTCAAAATATTATTTTTTTGTGTATTTTCACCAGTGAGAAATAGCAAGTATTTGAAATTGAGTAGTTCGGGTATTTTACGGATAACATTGAATATGGCAATACTTGTGTATGAAAAGGCTGCCATTCAGTATTTTCTTCGTAAATTTTTTAGCTTTTTATTTACACCTAGTTAGGGCAGGGACACCGCAACAGCTTGCGAAGCCAATAACTGCGGAGCCTGTACTCTCACACTCACTRCCTCTACATTAAGTATTTTAGCACACAACACTCCTCACATGTTGATTTTTACTGAGGGAGGAAAACCGAAGGACCCGGAGAAAAACCCTCGTGGCAAGGGAGAGAACAACACATCAAACAAACTCAAACTCACATATGGTCCCTGCCCGGAAATCGAACCGGGACCACAGCGGTGAGAGGCCAGCAGTTTAACCGCTGGGCCATACCCGTGCCACCCAAAACGTTTTCCTTGCTGGAAAATAAGTTATCATAAGTAAAATGTCAAAATATTGACAATGAATTCATTTTGCTCGTTTCTTTAAATTGAATTTKAAAGAATACTGCTGTTGATGTCTGCATGATTAGTCCCTCTAGTACCCAATCCCCTTTGTTTCACGACGAGCACTAATGACTGTTGTCGCTTGTTTTTAGCGTGCAATGATAAAAACCCCCTGTGTGGTGTAATGGGATTCCTGTGCTTCCTACCCAACATCCAAAACGATTGTAGAAAGACATGCAATAAATGTTAGACCAGTCAAGGTATGTTGTGAGGGAATGAGTCTTCAGAATAGCTCTTGACTAACATTGCTACCATTTTCTTWAATTTTTAAAACGAAAAAAATAAAAACAAGCAAGCAAACAAAAGATAATTTTAAAAACCGAAAAWAGCAACAACAGYAATAAAAACACTATAGACCGTATAAAATGACAAATTTGTAAGATTTTCACTCATAAAACTTGGTGGTAATGAACATAGTCAGAATAGTCTCGCCTTATCTAAGTGAGATGACCGTTGAACTTGTAATAATAGATACCTGTGAATACTGTCTCTATTTCGCCTAACTTTGATGCAACGGCATGACTACTTTCCAAGATGGCACMGGGAAACGTGAAGGAGACATTTTAACTAAGCAAAAAACCATAAAAAACCATAATGAAGATGAAAGAAAACAGATGGTTATTATTTGATTGAAGTAATTTTATTATCATTTTATCTTCCAGGTTCAGATTTTCTGCATCGTTACAATAAATAAACACAATAACCAAAYGAACGAGTCGTTTATTCCTATCAGTGATCTTAATGTAGAAATAGCAGAACAAATAGCAACATAAACAAGAGGGTACAGAGACAACAAGCGACTTCGACTGAATGCTTCTTCAGACAAAAGCAAAAACAAACAGACAGACAGACAAAAATTACAAACCAAAATGCTTCTAAACCAGTTGTAGCAGCACGTTCTTTACAAAATAAGATATATAACTGAAACAACTAAATAACTAAAAGAAAAAATACAAATCAGTTTTAGGTTCTTTATTATGACTTTATCAATCACTATCCCCCTATACTACATTATATATTACTATTCAGCTTGACTTTCTGAGTCATGTCTGCAGACATCTTAGAAGTGTTGCTGTCACAGCCTGTGAAGGTGAAACAATACGAAATATTTTTTAGATTTTGAATTATGTCAAAGTAAGTACCATTTGAAACAAAAACGATAGAAAAATATAATACATGAGGTATTGTTGATAGTATAGAACAGTTCGGGCTGACCACCACRTTTTTATGGGAATCGCGATGTTACAATTCTTAACAAACTTTCGCAAGAAATCAGATTTGTTCTTGTACAATATTTCTCACCTTACTGCCTACTGTAAACGTAGTTGATATCACCTTTACCAATACATTCTTGTGGATTGCTTTTGTCACACTGAGCAGTACTGTTAGTCAGTATTTGAACTGAGTCATGCGGTCCGGCTTTGCCATATTTGTCAAACGTGAATGCTGCATTTGGACCACTCCAACATTCGCCGTAGTTCTGTAAGCCAAATACTTTCCAATGGTTTTGCTTTGCCAGTTCTGCACATCGACATGCCAAGCTAACCACGAAAAAGACTATATTTGAGTATGCTATTCTATTTATACGTATTCTGACCGTGTTTGTTACCGCAAAATTACCGTACTGCATACAGTCATACATATCACAACAAAAATTGAAGAATGGGTCATTTGAAATGAGCATAAAATATGTAATTACAGATCAATCAACCAACCAACCAACCAACCAACCAGCCAACCAACCAACCAACCAACCAACCAACCAACCAGCCAACCATCCAACCAACCAACCAACCAACCAACCAACCAACCAACCAACCAACAAACCAACAAACCAACCAATGTACTTTGAGTATAAGTTCTATAACGTACAACAGTACATTGTCAAGCTAATCGAGCCTCTTTACATATCTAATTAAGTTAAGTGTCATTTTAAAGTTTACCTGTGAATTGATTCTTCGAATTTGTACCAGTCCAGCTTATGTCCATCGTTCTCGTCGCTAAAGCAGTCTCGATCAGTCAATAGCAGCACTGGCATTGCTCTGGCTTTACTTTTCTCCTTGAATGCTCCAAGTTTGATATAGGTTCGATGACACTTGGTGTGTGGCAGATATCCACCGTCACAGGAAGGAGACACAGAAGCTTAAAGATTGCAATAGGATGTCATTATTCCCACAGTCTCATTTCAAGTACGCTGTATTGATGGTTTTCCACCATTCCAATGAGAGTGAGCAAAACAAAAAGGTCCACCAGTCACGGTGGTGGTTTTCTTTTGTCAGATCCACCAGCAATGGCGGACATCTTTTGTTTAACTTTCTCTCCTGGGAATGGTTGAAAACCTTCAATTAGAGATTGTACTCTACTACAAGAGTAAATCCATACAAACAGAAAGCACCCTCTGCACTGCGAAACAGATTAAAATGTCTTTGTCACAAACCAGCATCAACTACGAGCTTTTGTTAATGTTTTGAACATTACATCCTAATATAAACATAAAAATTTACTCTGACGGACGACAATGAATTTTGAAGGGAAGTGACCTCAAATTGAGCGACATTACATTGAGGTGGGTGGCCTAGTGGATAAGCTGCTGGCCTCTCACCGCTGTGGTCCGGGTTCGATTCCCGGTCACGGACATAGGTGAGTTTGAATTTGTTTGATGTGTTGTTCT